ACGTGGCTGGGCCTATTAACCGTGGGCTTAATAACCGGCGACTACTGTATATTGTAATCATGGTGTCGTTGACGCGATCCGTACTCATACACTTCCTTATGTTCCCTTATTCTGCACCCACTTCAAGGAACCAACAATTCTGTCAAACGCGAACACCTACAGTTGGCAAAACTGGGTCCTTCGTTGGTTCGGCAATCTCTTCTTCATCTTCAATGACCACGCTATGGTGCAGTTAGAGATAAACTGTCCTAATGGCGAGTTACGTGGTATCGCAATGACGGCGGAGAATGGTCTAGTCCCCATCGAACTGCGTCCAGGAATAGAACCTCTCGCCAGATCAAGTAAGTTTCGACTACCAAACAAAACTTAAGAAACTTGCCTAGATTCACAAAGTACCCCTTAAAAGTGACTAACCAGTTAACTTAAATGTGGACGCCCCTGTTAAAGGAATGCACACAAACATATTAAGCGCATTATTGATTTAGTTGAAAATAAAAGTTTTTGAATATAAATCTAAAAAGAGGTTTTGGCACATTTGAATAATTCATTTGACCCAATTGTGAAAAACTCGACGGCCTTGATCAGGTTTGAATCCAGGACAGTAAGGGGACAGCTTCATTATAGCCAACGCTCCAGCCACCTGAGCTACATGGGCCCACCGGGAGCCGTGAGTTTAATCACACTTAAGCCAATTTAGCCGCCCAGTCTACTTTAACGTATGGAATCCATCAATTCTGATAGAGTAAACTGACTGTCTAAGCAGGATTTCCTAAGCAGTCAATCTAGAATCCACTAGACGACTACCAGACGCAATTACTGAATAGGAGGATTGGCAGATTTGACTAATTCGTTTGACTCACGCCTCTCGGTGGGCCCTACTAGCCCAGATGGGTAGCACGTTGACCGTACTGTCTCCTTACCCTTTCTGTCATGGGTTCGAAACCCGCCGAGTTATTCAAATTCAGTCAAGTGAATATAGGACATTTCGGAGAAGAACATTCGCCTCAAACGAGGCAACTTAATTTTCGCAAGTACATAATGCGTATTCATGTATTGCACTAAAATTAGGATCACCAACTGTAATTATATGAGCATATTTTTGGCTATAAATTGCGCTTGCTAAAAGTGCCCGCACGATAACCTATGTCGTCTGTTTTACTATTAGCTAATTCAAAGTGCATCGTACTAGGCGTTGGTAAGAAAAACTATTTAGGTATAAGGGCATCATGCTGAAATTGCCAGCCTGGAATCTATCGTTGGTCTTCTCTGTCAAGACACGTTTATTACCGCTTTGTGTGTCCCCTCTTCACTTACCCCCAGG